ATATATATATATTAAATTCAACAGCCTCAAGAATGAAGCAGGCAAGTCATCCTTGGCTATCAAAAGGGTTCTTACACTTCATGTAAGACCTCTCTCCTTAATTTCCTCATGCTTTAATAATTTGCTCTATTAATGACGTTAGAGCTCTAATCCCAGTACTCTATTTATAGCCCATCTGAGAATAGAAATCTGATTCTCTCATTCTGCCTTTTACCCATTTCCTCAGGTAAATTGGTCCAACATAAATATAGTACGTACTAATAATTTTATTATCTATCCCGAATGCATGCATGTAATGCCACTTTACCTGGTTTCTATAAAAGGATATATTCCCATGACAGTGAGCACATGAAAATAGCCTCATGTGATTTATGTCCTTTGACGAGAAAGAATTTCAACGAAGATGAAAAAAACATTAAAAAACGAGTTTTCGAATTTTTTAATAAATATGTGCAATTAATTATCTCAGAGGAGTCAAATAAGCTAGGGAAGTTGAACTAATTCCTGGAATCAAGCCTTTTTCTTTGGAAAAGTTCCAACAATAAAGTTAATTATCAATATCAATTTTGTTAAAAATCCCAAAGGATATGCATATAATTTATTTCCTAAATAAAATGAGAGGGGCAGGTTTGCATTTTGACAGTGTAACAATATGGTTGTTGCTTGATGGACTCTTCGATCTATTAAAATTCATGATGCGTGACTCAATTTAATTGCCATAATTATAGCTTGATTTAGTTTTTCAATTCTAGTCGCTGACTTTTTCTAAGCCTAATATATTAACACAAGAATAGGAGCGCAACTTAGCTTGCTCGTCAATGGTGTATGATAGAAATGGATCACACTAATGCGCATCCGATTCATTTAACTTGGTCTACTTTCTATAATTAGAGCATTTTCGCATTGTGAGCTGTAATTTGACAAGACGTTCATATTGTGTAAATTTAAGACGATATTTTCTACTGCCTAGCTAACACTTACACCAATATCATTTTGGCTGGTTGGCTGTATTTGTTATTTGCGCAGAGACGTGAAAGTCTCTGCCATCGCTTGAACTAAGGATTGTAGTCTTACTATACAAGATATTCCATCTAGCTGTTGAATTTGGATCATTATATGGAGAATTATAGGTGGCAAATAGACAGATTAAGTCAAACTTGGGCGGTGGGAACAATCGAGTTAATGGAGGATTAGGATTAGCTAGGATCAAAATACGTACATGGTTTGGCATGAATTAATTGTTTGAGCTGTGGATACTCTGTATGCACGGCACGTGTAATCTAAAAATAATTATTGCAAGCTATGATTTGGTGAGATCTTAGGACGGAGATTTTGGGTGCGTTTGGCAAGAGGAAAATATTTTTCGGAAAATATTTTTTAATTTTCTCATGTTTGGTTGGTTTAAATATTTTGAAAAATATTTTTCAAACACCCCAAAACCGAGGGGCGTGACCGACGCTCAACCGAGTGAACCCGACCGAGCAAGCCTGTTAGATTCCTTCTACCCAAACTCATTCATGAATAAAGAGAATATATGTTTTCCTTAATTAAATAATAAAGTGGTCATGTCTGTAATTATCAATTTTTTACCATAAG